GATTTGTAAATGCCAATCTAAACGCTTTTTCTTCTGCATAATGACTTGACTGCAAACAATTGCTTTTTCTTTAGTCCGGTTAATGTTGACGTTTACAGCCGAGTTTATCAGACACGTAAAAATTCTGCAATTAGCGACAGCAAACTTTATCTTCTGAACTTTCATTTACTCTGTTAGATATATTTTTACAGCTTGTTATGGCCTTTCTTATTTAAAAAACTAATTTTTTACTATTTTTCCGCACATAATTATCCGTACAATTTTTGTGCATAATATCATTACAATACCCTTAAACATTCAAATTCCACTAATTTTCTAACATCAAATATCTTTAGAGGTTAGAACTGTAGAAGAGAAAACAGCATATTTAGTACATAACTGTGGAAATAAGTTGAATAGCTGTTGAGTATTTGAAGTGGTCTAATACCACAAAAAGAATTTTATAGAAGCAGCTTTTGTCGTTTACTGGTCTTCAAACTTATTTTTAGTCTCTTTCAACCTTTAGCCAACAGAAATCTTTTCAGGAAGCTGGTCAGCAACTTTCAAAAATATAAATCACCATTTTTAATCATTCTATTTTGCTCTGACTATTTTACTTATTTTGCTTCCGAACAATTCAAGTAGCACTTCCATAATTTTTTTCCACTTGTTGTCAACTTTGGTTGCTCAGCAAACCGAAATTTGAAATCGTTGCTGTGAATTCACAGTATCAGGCTAATTTTTTACTACGATACATTGTATTCTTGAAACTTAAAGCTTGACGTATCATTTTCTGTACTTGTACATGAATTCTTTGAGAATTTCAACGAGTAAGACATCAGAGCGGTGCTTGAATAATTCATATTTATGTAGAAATTACTGTTCTCTATCTGCTTTGTTTGAAACAACAAGGAAATAAACAAAATTTTCCCACTTTTATTGGATAGATACATCAAGATATTACCGCGAGTAAGTAGATCGCTAGTGGCTTGACGTACAATAATGCAACTGCGCAGTCTTACAATTTTCAACTAAAGTTTGCTTTTGACTTTCCGACGCTAACTGGGCAACTCTGTAGAGCTATTTTATGCACGATCTTGAAACAACACGGCAAAAAAGCAGAAAAATAGTAATAACCGGTCAGGTCACAATTAAGCCAAGGAGGACCGGTATTGTCACAAGAAGTTATAAGTCTATTTTACTAGAGTTTTTTGTTTGATGAGTTCCTTTATTTCAGATCGTCACAGGGCTCAAAAAGTCTCCAATCTAGACTCAGAAATCTATATCAATAGGTACCAGCAATCTTCAACGTTTTCATGTTTAGAGCACCAAAAACCAAACGGCAAGCAAAGAATTAAACTTTAAGGCCAAAACTACGCAGAGCGTTTGAGTATCTGAGTGTCACAGCTCCGGCGTGCTGAAGTACTTGACGTTACCCCAAAATGGACCACGACCTCTTGTCTTTGCTGAGCA